TTTATTTCATGTCTAGGCCGATGTTTTGCTATGAAGGATTTGGGGGATTTACACTTTTTCCTAGGTGTCCAAGCTGTTCGAGTACAATCTGGTTTATTTTTATCCCAACAAAAATATGTGACTGATCTTCTCACCAGATTTCACCTTCACACTCTTAAGCCTGTTCGTACTCCTCTTGCTACGCGAACTAAGCTATCTCTCACTGATGGGGATCTTTTAGCAGATCCGTCTGAGTATAGAAGTATGGTAGGTGCTTTACAGTATTTAACTATGACTCGACCTGATATTACATTTGCTGTTCACTTGGTTTCCCAATTTATGCATGCGCCCCGTACACCTCATCTTTTGGCTGTTAAGCGTATTTTCAGGTATCTTCAGGGGTCTATTTCGCATGGGTTACTACTTCGGCCGAGCTCTACTTCTCCTACCATACAGGCTTACTCGGATGCTGATTGGGCTGGATGTCCTGATAGTAGTCGGTCCACCTCTGGCTTTGCTATTTTTCTGGGTCCTAATTTGATCTCCTGGAAGGCCAAGAAGCAGCCTACTGTGTCTCGTTCTTCCACAGAGGCTGAATATAGGGCCATTGCATACACTGTTCAGGATACTCTGCATATACGCTCCATTTTATTTGAGTTGGGCTTTCCTGTGCGTACACCAGTCACACTTATGTGTGATAATATTTCAGCTTCTTATTTATCAGCTAATCTTATTCAGCATGCCCGCAGTAAGCATATCAGCATTGATTATCATTTTGTACGTGAGAGAGTTTCCCATGGTGATCTGGTTGTTCGACATGTTCCTACACAATTTCAGCTAGCGGATATTTTTACTAAGAGTTTATCTCCGCAGCGTTTTATTTTTCTTAGGGACAATCTGCGCATTGTTTCCCCTGCACAGCTTGAGGGGGTGTAATAGTGTAATAATACTTTAATTAGGTTACTAATTAGGTTTCCATATTTATTTATTTCCTAATGTACTCAGAACTCTCTTATTATATATATGACATCTAGGCTACCACATTAGGTATGCCTTTCCATTATTTTCACAGCAGTAGAGTTCAAGCTCGGCGGAGATTTGTTCCATGAGCATTTCAGGTACAAACCTCACAAAATTTCCACAGCTAGCCCGGAAAAACTGCATGGATGTGATTTAGACCTGCACAAAACCGGGCCGGCCCGCCCAGCCCGCCCAACCGGCCCGCACAAATGGGCGGGCTTGGGCATATATATTTACCGACCGGCCCGGGCCCGGCCCGGCCCGCAATAACATATGGGCGGGCTTGGGTTAGGGTGTAGGCCCGTTCGGGCCGATAAGCCCGGCCCGCTACATTTAATATATATATATATATATATATATATAATTTATTTATTTACATGTACATTTATATTTTCTAATATAATTTATCTTTATACATATTTGTAGTTTATTATGTTTAAATTTAGGTTTTTAGATCTGAACCACTAGCCCAACTAATATAGTATCTATTTTTGTACTTAAAGATAATACTTTGTGCTTGAATTTTAAATTTTAGATATAGTTTCTCATTATTATTTTTGTGTAAGTATTATTTTTGTATGTGGTGAAAGACCTATAAACATTACACGCATATTAACAATTTTTTAAATGTTGTAATATTAGTTTTAAATTATTTAAAAAAAATCGAAAAATATAAAGGTTTTCCGGGCCCGGAGGCCCGGTGGACTACCCGGCCCGCTCTTATGGGCGGGTATGGACATGGGGTTAGGCCCGTTTTTGCGGGCCGGGCCCGAGCCCGGCCCGAACCCGTTTTTGTGCAGGTCTAATGTGATTTGCTGGAGGGTGAATTTGGTCACCTTGGCTCCGTTATGTATGCGACGTACACCACCGGTATGTACCATCACTACCTTACTCTTACACCTATCTTCTGATGTTTTTACTTGGAGTGAAATTTTTCTGATCTCGTCTGGTATGGTCTGATTTGGTCTGGTCTGATTTGGTTTGAACTGGTCTGATAAATGTATGGTCTCTGTGTATTTTATTTTTATAACTATCTAAGTCTGGTCTGGTCTGAACTGGTCTGGTCTAGGATAGTTTGACCTGGTCTGAGACTGAAAACAGTCCAAGTAAAAACATTCTAAATGGAACAAACCAAACTCGATCGAACCAGATAACAATTCACATATTTAGACATGCACACCGAAGTGAATCTGACCAAATCAGATTAGACTTAAACAAACCGAACCAGACCAGACAAGATAACAAAATTATAATCCAATTAAATACATGTAGTTGAAGGCTCTACTTAGCTTTTCAAAAGGTGAAAAATGCACATACATTATGGATGATGTTTCACTTGCATCTACTTCCTCCGTTCTTTTTTAAATGTAGCGGTCCACTTTTCACGTTTTTCAACGCACAAGTTTGACCATTAATATCTTTCATTCCTTATAAGTAAAAAATTTTTAAAAAATTAGATTATGAAAATTTAAAATAAGAGGAATTCTACAATATTTATTTAAAACTTAATTTATAATACATTAATAAATAAAGTAGAATCAAAGTAGAACATGTGAATAGTGAAAAAAGTCCAATGTTGCATTTAAAAAAGAACAGAGAGAGTATTATTTTGTTCAAATAATTCAATTCAATTAGAGATATGACACACATGCAGATGGGAAAAAGAAGAAAATAAAAGAAGTTGTTACGAAAATCGATGAAGAGAAGAAGCTGATTGAGTACAAGGTCTTAGAAGGGGACTTGATGGAGCAATACAAAGCATTCACAATCACAGTCCACGTGGAGAAAAAGAACAAAATTGATTTGGCCACGTGGACCCTGGAGTATGAGATGCTCAATGAAGAAGATGTGGAACATCCCATTTCATTCCTCTCCTTCCTCTTGGACCTCACCAAAGACGTCGAGACTCATCACAAACTCAACCTTTGATATGATGAATCCTAGTTCCATCGACTTCATTGGCCAATGTTTTAGGCCATCTTTTAAAATCATTCTAATAAACAAAAATTGTCACTTTGTAATAGAATTTGTGACGGGCTTACGAAAAAGTCCATACAAAATCGTTTACATATGGATAGTTTTTATTGAGTTTGACTTTTGTAGTATCGAGTATTAGTGATGGTTTGGTGCTTTCAATTTGTATCGGAATAAGTGATTGCATATTGTGTCATGTATCTATCACCATGAATGATCAATGGCACGTCTTTAATTTCATCATTATTTAAGCGTGTAGATTTAAATAATAACGGATGTACTAAATAGGAAAACAGAGACTTAATTAAAAAAAATAACAAAGAATTATATATGTTGCGCGAAATGAGGGGCTGACCCAGGAAGTTTATCTTGGGAGGGCGATAACTTAAACAAAATATTTTTTGGAAGGGCGAAAATTCTTTTTTAGTATATATATACACTAATTTTTTTTATTGGGGAGGCGACTGCCCCCTGAGTCTGTACTACGATCCGCCCCTGCGCGAAATTGACTAGAGTAAGTAGATCATAATTAAAGCTAGTGTAGATCGATGAAATTATTCAAACACATGAGCAAGCTCTTATCATACGGAGTATAATACGATAGTATATATCATGGGTAGATGGGGATCTGGGGATCTAGTACCACATTGACATTTAAGGTTTCATTTTAAATTGGAAGTAATTTGCATATGCTCTATATGAGCAGTCCAATACCTAACTTTGTTCTTTATTCTCAAACTCCTCCCAATAGGAATAAAAATAGTGTGATTATTAACTAACAATTTTAAATATGACATTAATGTTTTTAGGAGGCATTAGGTAACTCTATTTGTAGCTTATCAGTTTTATCAGTTTATGGGACACGATATTTTTTACTTCACACGATGCACGCTAAATAGTGTGCTAATAAAAATAAGTAATGTTGAAATTGTTTTTCGATCTGCTGAATTGGCTAAAGTTATTGTACAAAATAATTTTATCTATGTTTCATGTATGTAATCTTTTCTTGATTTATTATTAAAATAAATATTAAATATAAATTTTGAAAAATTCAGAAGATTTAGCCAATTCACCCACTTTAGTGTTTTTTGGGCAAATTTTTCTAACCTATTATAGTATATATTCTGTTATTTCCATCATTTGCAATGGAGCCAAATATTCATTATTTTTTGGCTTGAGAATATGATGGAATAAAACAAAATAACTCATTAAACTGTCTGCGCTTCTTTGTTATGAAGCAGCAGTCAGTCCATGCAATTTTGGACGCGATTTTCACTATGGGTCATCCGGAAACAGTCTCTCTGTGCTTTAGTACAGGAGTAAGACTGCGTACATCTGACCCCCCCCTTACCCCACTGTAAGTGTGATCCTTTGCGGCACTGGGGTAAATGAAAATGAAAAATAGTATCTGTTCTGTTAAGGTCAATATCCTTGAACTGGGATCAGATTCGAACATGTGACCTCCTCTTTGAAAGTGTCATAGTGATGTCATCAGACCACAAGGTACATGGCACTCACTTTAGTTAGAAATTCATAAATTTAAGCAAATTCAGCGCAACATATTCAGTTTTCCAAATTGATTGTTGGACTTTTCTTACTATGTACTCTTGGTAGGGGAAAAAAGATGATGGACCATTCTTGATGTACACAAAATGTGTACACAGGCAATTTGACATCAAGTTTTACCCCTTTTAAACGAATTATCTATGTACACAGACAACTAGGACAATTTTTTGTAAATTTGTGTACAACTCATGTACATTAAGAATTTTCCAAAAAAGATATACTCCACATGCAACAAACTGAGAGTTAGGATGTTTTCTTTTGGACTGAAATTTGCTGGTCTGGTCTGGTCTGGTCTGGTCTGGTAAACGTCTGGTCTCTGTGTATTTTATAACTACGGAAGTCTGGTCTGGTCTGGTCTGATCTGGTCTTGTCTTGTCTGATCTGGTTTGGTTTGGTGTGAGACTGAAAATAGTCCAGAAAAAAACATCCTTATTATTATAACAAGAAATGATTGAAAACCAAATTAAAGCGGTAATTCATTAATTAATGTAAGTGTTTTATTGATGCCAGCATTATTTGAAGCACACTAATTTAGCATAGAGTACATTAATTAGTCCGCATTAATTAATTATGAATTACTTCCCAGCCTTCTCTTGGGCGTGCAAACCAGAAAAGTACGCTTGCGGGTTCGCCTCAAAGTCAGCCCTCGAAATGTACTGCCCACCACCGCCAGGGGCGGGCATCGATCCCGTCCGACCGCCACCTCCACCAACCCCACTGCACCCAGAAGCTCCTCCACCCTTTCCACCGCCACCTCCTCCACCGGAAGCCCCACCTCTAGCGCTTCCCCCTCCTCCAGTAGAGCTGCCGCCTTTTCCACCGCCTCCACCAGATCCCCCGCCTTTACCGCCACCTCCACCCCCTCCTCCTTTACCGCCGCCGGCCATTATTTCAAGCTGAGATCGTTGTTATGACTTATGGGTAGGTAGTATATGATCGTACGAATTATGGCTTGCTAGCTATTGCATGTATTCGATCGATATATATAGAGTTAGAGTTTGCCTTTCCGTAAGGAAACGCTTTGGGTTTCAACCTTTTCAAACAAGTAAAAGATAATTTATTGAATTCAACTTTCAACTTTTTCATCAACATATATATTTACGAAGTGCATTTATTTAATTTGGCAATAGTATGTAGATTTGAATTTTGAACGACACAAAGTCATGCATCAAGGATTGTTGTTCTCTATTGAGCGATGATATTAATTGTAAATTGGAATACGACATTAAAGCTTTCTCAAAGCTTTGAATTGTGTGTTAGCTTTTTTGTGAATGAATAAATAACAGGTACTTGACTGCAAGTTCGAAGAGAAGATAGCGGATTGGTTTTAGGACCAAGAAGTAGTACTTGACTAGATCGATTTGGGACTATTTTGTAAAAAGTCAGAGTAAAATCTCAACATCATCAATAATCAAGTCTCCCATCTAGACACTCTATAGTTAATAGGTTCTCCCACTCTTTGATCAGACATAAAATAGACTACTCAAAAATGAGGGAAATTACTCACTGAACACGTGAGAACTCTGAAGTCATTATCAACCTAATTGTCTGATATGGCTTCTACTCATTATCACACTAAAAAAACACACACAACCCCCAAATATTAACAAATAAAAAAGTAGGAAAAATTGACTAGAATATGTTGGAATAAATCCGATAATACTTTAATCTTCATATTGGAATTATCTAGAGAATTAACTGAGCGGAAGCGTACCTGACTCCATAGGAGATGATCTTTGGAGATCCGGGAGACGGAGACTAGGGTTTGTGTCTTCTAGTTGATACACACTCTCGGGAATTATCTCTCTAGCGATAGGATGCAGAAAGACGGAATGGTGTAATCAACTAGGGACCATAACCCCTCTATTTATAGAGAATGCTTAATCCTAATCAGCCCATCATTAATTAGGTTAAGCCCATGGGTTTCTACACAATTGGGCCCTATACCTTATTAGATAACTTATTAGCCCACTTAAATTAATATCCATAGGACCACTAATTTTTGGGCTAAACATAAGATAGCATATAACATACAATTAAACCCAATAAATAATATATTGTGAATATTATATGTAGTATAAGTCCAATAATCTAACAATCTCCCACTTGGACGACATACACATATATATACACAATCCTTAGTATTGTATGTTTACTTTAGGAGCTCCAGAATTTTGCTATCAAACTGTAGTCATCTTTAATCTATCCGGTCCATCAATTATATCAATATAGGACCAAAGAAATCTTCTTTGCTATATTCACATAACTAGACCCAACAATGATCACATATATTAATATAATAAACGACATGGATCAAGTATAGGTGTGTAACGTGGAAATAACATGAAGTGTGGTCTGGAATAGAATGTCTATTTCCAACTGGTCCACCTTGAGATCAATAATGTAACTATAAGAGTACATAAAATTTTAAACTTTAAACTTTAGACTTTATTTCTGCAGAAAATATCCTTAAAAAACTGAATTAACCAAAATTATAGAAACATTACAAACTCCCACTAAAACTCATAATCCTCAACTGATTTGACACCCATTTGAGCAACATGCTCATGAAACACTTTGGGTGACAATCCTTTAGTGAGCGGATCCGCAATCATGGAGTTTGTGCTAATGTGTTTTATAGATAACTTTCCTTCTTGTACTCGTTCCTTAACAGCCTTAAATTTAACCCCAATGTGTTTTGCCTTGGTCAAACTACTATTGTTCTTAGCATAGAGGACTGCTTACCTATTGTCACACAATAGCTTAAGTGGTCTTTCAATGCTATCCACTATGCGCAGTCCACTATTAAAATCTCGCAGCCATCATGCCTGATTGGATGCCTCATAACATGCTATAAACTCTGCTTCCATGGTGGAATTTGCAGTAAGAGTATGCTTGATACTCCTCCAGGAGATAGCTCCTCCAGCTAAAATATAGATGTAGCCCGAAGTGGATTTCAAGGAATCCTGACATCCAGCAAAATCAGAGTCGGTATACCCAATGATCTCAAGCTGATCCGATCTCCGATATGTGAGCATATATTCCTTTGTTCTCTATAAATACCGCATGACCCTTTTGGCTGTTTTCCAATGGTCCATTTCCGGATTGCTCAAATATCTGCCTAACATCCCATACATTAAACATCCTACAGCTGAAGCATAAGGAATGTTCCTCATTTCTTTAGATTCAAAATCATTCTTAGGGCACTGCATGAGACTAAACTTGTCTCCCTTAGAAACTGGAGTATCTCCTGGTTTGCAGTCTTGCATGCCAAACCTTTTGAGAACCTTATCGATATAGCCCTTTTGTGAGAGTCCAAGAACGCCTTTGGAGCGATCTCGGTGTATTTGAATTCCTAATAGAAAAGAAGCCTCACCAAGATCTTTCATTTCAAAATTCTTTGAAAGAAATTTCTTAGTTTCGTGCAATGAGCCTATATCGTTCCTAGCAAGCAATATGTCATCAACATACAAAACCAGGAAAATATGTTTACTCCCATTGAACTTGTGGTATATACAGTCATCACTGACATTTGGTTGAAAACCAAAAGATATGATTACTTTGTGAAACTTGTGAAACCACTGACGAGAAGCCTGATTGAGCCCATAGATGGATTTCTTTAATTTCCAAACCATTTTCTTTGGATCTCCCGAAACAAAGTTTCTTGGCTGCTCCATATAGATTGATTCCTCAATGTCACCATTGAGAAATGCAGTTTTCACATCCATCTGATGAAGCTCAAGATCAAAATGTGCCACTAATGCCATTATTGTTCTAAAAGAGTCTTTCGAAGATACTGGAGAGAAAGTCTCTTTATAGTCAATTCCTTTCTTTTGAGTGTAGCCTTTAGAAACAAGACGAGCCTTAAACCTTATAACATTACCCTTTGAATCCCTCTTGATTTTAAATATCCATTTACAACCAATGAGTTTAATACCTTCGGGCAATGAGACTCATAGACTTCATCTCATCTTTTATGGTATTAATCCATTCTTGAGAGTTAGAACTTTCCATGGCTTGACGGAAGTTGATTGGATCATCTTCCGCAAAACCAACATCTGATTCTTGTTCTTGGAGAAGACAATTATTTCTTCCACCAAATCCCAATTTTCCTCATGTTCTTGGAGAAATACAATATAATCATCCGGAATTGCACTTCTCCTCTCTCGAGTGGATCTTCTTAATGGCACCTCAGGTTCTTGAGGTTGTTGAGTTTGATCCTCATTAATAATTTCAGGTACCTGATTGGGGATGTTTTCGAGATTGCCCTGAACTGGAGTTGTTTCTTGAACATTATTAGGAATAAAAATATCTTGATCATGTTCAATGACAACTGAAGGAAGAGTAACATGCTCTTCCTCAAGGACAAAATCTCTAACCTTATCTCCCCACCCCCCAAACTCAATATCCTCAAAGAACCGGGCATTACCCGTCTCAAAAATAGTCCTGGTAGCGGGATCATAAAATTTATACCCCCTTGACCTCTCAGAGTATCCTACAAAATAGCTACTAACTGTTCTAGACTCTAGTTTCTTTTCATTTGGCCTATAAGGCCTTGCCTCAGCTGGACAACCCCAAACATGGAAATGATTTATACTGGGTTTCCTTCCAGTCCAAATTTCATAAGGGGTTTTAGTTGTAGCTTTAGTGGGAATCCTGTTGAGTATGTAAGCTGCAGTTTTCAGTGCCTCTCCCCAGAGTGAATCTGGTAAAGTAGTATGACAAATCATACTCCTAACCATGTCCTTTAATGTACGGTTTTGTCTATTATATATGTAATATTTGTATAAAATTTTCATACTATAAATAAATAAATAAATGTGTGTGAGTGTGTGTGTGTTCGCCCCCCTTAACTTTTCGTTTTCAAAATTAATATATATTTTTTTGGATGAAATGTAAGTATATTATCCAAGAAAACAAAGGTTCAGAATGTACAAACAAAGGGAAACAAAAATGGAGGTTATCCAACAAGGATAACCCAACCCTCAAAAGGCAGCAACCAAAAAGCAGAGACTCGGCCAAGCACCAAACAAAACACCTGTTGGAGGCCGAGACCTAGACCAGTAAAAAAAACTACAAGGTTATGCGGATACAGATTATACAAGATTTTATAAACAATGTATTGTATCCTACCAAAAACGTCATCCTCCTTAGGCAGAAAGCAATCCTGACCGTCTTTGCTTTGATTCCCGCTCCTTGCCTTTGCCTTTTGATCCATTTCATCGAGCTATGCAGTGTCCTCATCTCTCTAGGGATCCCTAGCCAGCCTTTGACCTTGTTCCAAACATTACTTGAAAAGGAGCAAGCAAAAAATAGGTGTAGCACCGTTTCCGGACCACCCTTACAAAAAGGACAAATATTAACAACATCAAGCGTATACAAGTTATGACAAGTAGCCAGGCGGTTACAGAAGGCAAGCCACACCGTGAAAGAGAACTTAGGAGGAATATAGGTCTTCCAAATGAAAGACATCCACCGTTGAGGTTAACCTATGGGAACGTTCCCCCTAGCTCTGATAATTCTCATTTAGCATAAGCCGCGGTTGTCACTTAAATTATGAAAATGTCACCGGGTGTACGGTGCTCACCGTATACGAACTCGATTACTGTAGACTTAAAACATACTGAAACGGACCGATAGGAAAGAAGAAATTTTGTATTACAAATATTGGAAAAAACAAGTTACTTCATACTATTTACGTTATCTCACCATAACACTAGTCTAGATCCGCCTACTTCCAACCTAATTTGGTATCGAAGCAATATATACGGAGTATCTAATAGCAGGGGGGTAGCCAGGAGTAAGAGTTGGGCTGCAGTGGTACAAAGAATTATTACAGATAAATTTTTACACATAAATTTTTACATTAAAAATATAAGCAATTTTAAAAGATTGCTAAAAGATTATAGATGGTAAAAAGATTTGTCCTCACAAACGAGGCATCCCTACGGGGTCACAAGAAGCAAGTTGAGATTTGAGTTAATGGTAATTATAATTTACCTCTACAAGATTCTTTAGAGTTACAGTGGTTTCAGTGGTATAAGCGGCAGCCCAAGGGTAATGATTTGAAT